CCTTAGGCAGGTTCTACACTGTAGCAGAGGTCCTGACCATGCTGCAGGACTCTGCAGGACTCTGCAGGACTCTGCAGGACTCTGCGGGACTCTGTGGCAGATGCACATCATTTGTGTGTGAAAAGTGTCTTGTGTCAGCACACAGAGTAGAACATGCATGAAAGATGTAATTTATGGGATGAAATATAAACATTTATGTGTTTTTAGAGGTTCTAAGAAATAAAATAAGTTTTGATTATAAAAATTTGAGAATAAAAAAACAGTTCTAATGTTTGTTGTTTTGAGTTTTATATAGAGGAACCTGAGGCTCCACCTTTTTGTTCTTATTTATACTGATCACATTATTATTTTGATTTTATTATTAGTTCATTATTATGAACAGGTGACATGGTGACAAGCTGTGTGACCATAAAAATACTATTTTCTTCAAAACAAAGTACAAAAAGGTGAAATTAATTACATAACATGATTCAGAGGGACTCAGCTGATAAAATGATATGCGTTACATCTCTGAAAATAACTGGGCACAAATGGGTTAAAATCATCTTTACAGTTTTATTCAGACATGTTTTTAGTGAAGTGTTTACTGGTTTTTTTTAATGTTTTTCATTATATTTGACCTGTTTTTATTTTTAGTTATTTTACTCTCTGTTAAACACTTTGTAATGTTTACGTCTGTGGATATAAATAAAGTTTTGTGTACATAAATAAAGTTTATTTAGTGGTAATGAGGGTGTTCTGCAACACATACTGCAGTGCTATATTATTGTACAAGTTGTAACTAAATATTAGAATCAACTCTGTCAGCAAAATATTTTATAAACCAGTGGGTGGATTATTTTAAAACTTTTAGAACTGACTCAGTGGATTTATGTCTACAGCTGATTAATATTTTAGAAACTAATGACCTGTGAAAACATTAAACATGTCTATAACTATATAATATAATATAGATACTGAGCTAAAATTTGATGACGTCATTCAACACAAACTCTGAGCAGCTCAACACTTTTTTCAAGGCTCAGTTTAAATGTCTACACCTCAGTCAAACTTTAAAACTGTAGAAAGAAAGGAAATAATGAAATATGGTTTTCAATGGGCTTTACTTTGTACGAGAAGCTGTTTTATTTTATCAACCTTTTAAATCATCCTGCACTTTATCCACCTGCTCTTAAACCAGGGCAAAGTTTCAGACAGATCAAGTGTCCTGGTGGTTTTTAACAGAGAATTAAATTTCACATTAATAATTCATCAGTGTTTCTGCTCACATGCTAACAGTTATTAACTGTGACCTGTTAACACACAACACACACACACAACAGACACACAAACCTTCAGGAAAATATTTCAACACTACGACCTACTGATATCATTCACCTCCTATGATAATATATATCTTTATATATAATAAAGTGTTGTTTGTGTGGCACTTCTTCAGAGTTTGTTAGAAGAAAAGGACGGGTTGAGTCAGTTCAGTGCAACAATTAAACGTTTGTAATAAATATATTTATAACCAAGAGGAAAGTTTTCAGGTCTGTTTTTCATGTGTTTGGGTTCAGTATGCTAATATCAAGTACTGCCGAATTTAAACAAACATATTGAGAAACTAAACCTTATATGGTTTTAAAAAATAAGTTTAGTTAAGCTCAAGGAACGAGCACGACTTTTTGTCTGACTCAAAACTTAACAAGGGTTTGGTTTGCGTCGCTCAGCTGCAGGAAACTTTACAGCAGCTATGTTATATCCTGAACCACTGCTTATTTTTAACAAAAACACTTGTAACTACATGTGGATGTTAATTTCTGAAGGGATGCAAACATGCTGAATAAAAAACTGTGAATTTAAGGGTAAAAGTTGTGAACTTTGTGAGGCGCACCGACAGCTAGCTTAGCGAAGCTAACCCGCTAGCAGCTTGTAGCACAGCGGAGGAGGCTGACGGAGCAGACAGTCCTGAACAAACTTCACTTCTTCTGCAACAACTTGTTACCTTACTGCAGCTTTCACTCACCTGTCCGGACTCTGCAGCTCCTCGGGAACAGAAAACCTTTCAGCCTGACTTAGCTTAGCCTGCCATCAAGACCAGCCTGACTTTTCTCCTCAGCTTTCTGATAAATTACTTGTTGATTTGCAGCTAAAACCAAAGATCGAGGAGATAAACTTCAAAACTTCAAAATACAAACCGTGCTAAACTATTTCAAATGAAACGGATCAACGTCAGCCCGTCCCTCACTATCATTAAACTATGGTTTTTACTGTTTTTACGTTTCACTGCTGATTTTAGGGTGTTTTGCTTCGAAGCGGTCTATTTCCGGGTGTGTTGCGGTGCTGCCCCACCTTCCTGACACTGCTGGGCGGTAAACACTGAACAGGTGTGTCTCACCTAAACCTCTTTTAAACCACAGGTTCTGATTCTGCACCTACTGGACTCAGTAAATACATAATGTGGAGATTAAAGGCCTGCTGTTCATTGAAACAAAGCACGGGGCCCTTTTTCATTATAGCCTATATAACTTTATATATTATAAAAGTCCAATCCCGCCACTCAAAATAAATAACTTGTCTAATGATATGTCATAATTATGAGATTCAATATCATACTTCCTCTCCTTGGGCTGCTACCTTATCGTGGTGGAGGGGTTTGAGTGTCCCAATGATCCTAGGAGCTATGCTGTCTGGGGCTTTATGCCCCTGGTAGGGTC